CCACCTCTTCTTCAGGATCTTCGTCCGACTCCTCGCGCACGTCTTCCTTGTGAATAGTGGCGGTCTCAGGAGCGTTTCTCTTGGGCCGCATGTTCTTGACCGCCCCGCCGGCAGCTTCTTCAGCCGAAACCTCTCGCAGAGCATCTTGGAAGGAAACATCTTCCCTGGCGAACAGTCTCTGCTGCAATTCTGTGTTTCTTAGCCCGCATACAAAGCGATCACGAAGTCTTTCTTCTAAGTCCTTGAAGTCGCACGGTTTAGCTGCTCTTCTCAAGGCCACAACGTAGTCTTTTGCTGATTCTCCGACTCGCTGATCTCTCTGTTGAAATGTGTGCCTCCAAGCCATGACTGATTGCTTGGGCTGGAAGTGTTCCTTTAAGGTTTTCTTGAGGTCGGAGTACAATACCGTTTCCAGCGAGTCTGGGGAGATTAAACTCTCGGCGATCTCAAAGGTGTCTTGCCCACAAACGCACAACAATGTGGCAGCCTTTAAGCCTTCCTCTCGAATCTGGTTGATACGAAAATACGTCTCGACTCTTGCCACGTAAGATTCCCACCTCTTGGGGTGAGAGACGTCGAATTCTTCTAAACGCCCAACTTTAGCCATGATCGATGGTAAAGTTTCTTCTTCTTCAGTCGCACGCACCCTCCAGCGATTTCGTACTGGCAGGATAACGCTGACTTCCACGCCGTTTCTTTCCCGGACTTCTTTGGGTGAGTCTTCTAGCTTTTCTTAGCTGTAGAGACTGAATCCCACCTTCGTCGCCAGTGTTAAGTCCTGGGAATAATGGCGCTTGAGACGAATCATCTTCAACAAGTCTTTATTGTTTGCTCCACTCTACGAACAACCTGAGCAGAGGCACGCAGGCCTCTATTTATACCCTCTGATCCCCGGGCAAGTTCAACCAATCATGAGGCGGGCTTTTCCCGCCTTGCGCATGCGCACAAGGCTGGCGCCGCTCAGTCTGGTCCCGGGCAGCTTCTGCAATTGCCCGGGACTCTTGCAACGTCCCGAGCCTGCATCTTGCAGGCTCAGGACACAACAATGTGCATCAGCATTATGTCAATATCTGGGTCAGCATATGAAAAAGGGAAGGGAAGAGAGAAACTGTTTTTTTTAATGTCTCAATTTTTAGTCTTCTCCGTGTAGTAAGGCATCTAGTATCCAGACTGTTTCAAAAGCTAACATTGGAAATGAGAGCTCAAGAGATGGAAATTGAAGAATGCATGTGGGGTGTCATCGCTAACCAAAAAAGATGAGGTTAAAAAAGTATGAAATTATGCAGGACTGGAAAATAATAAGGTAAGAAATCAGCTAATCGGCTAAAATGTTCAAGGTTGGAAACAAACAATTTGGACATCTGAGGGAAGTTAAACTGTTTCTAATGCTACTTCTAACAATGGCAACTGAAACAGATTTTGCAGATTTTCTATAATTTCACAATGTCTGTGGAGATTCTCAGTTGTCCAGGTCATGGTTGTCCCAAAGGTGCTTTCTTTCAAAAGGCAACTGGACTTTCTTTGTTTTTTCCTTGAAGACATTTTGCTTCTTATCCAAGAAGCTTCATCAGTTCTGACTGAATGGTGGAGAATGGAAGGATTTATGTTCCTTGCAGTCATGTGGTCCTTACCTGACTGCAAGGAATATAAATCCTTCCATTCTCCACCATTCAGTCAGAACTGAAGAAGCTTCTTGGATGGGAAGCGAAACCTCTTCTAGAAACTCCAGCTGCCTTTTGAAAGATAGCATCTTTATGTGTTTTGAAGTTGACACCACTCAACCCCATGGCCAAAATAGCAGCTGAAGTTCAATGCCTCTGAAGTATGGAGTAGACATAACAGTGAGACATTTAAAAAGTATATAATAGATCATGAGAAGCCTCTTCCAAATCACCTTCATTTCTCTTACTTTGCCCCTAATATAAGATAAGGTCAATTAAACTATAATGGTTTAACTCTTCCATAAAATGAAAGGGAAAAGTAGCTTCTCCTCCCACCCTATGCATGCCAAACATTTCACAATCATTTTGAGAAATGAAGAACTGATGAACAATATTCGATTAAATACGTACATCTGTCTGCGGATGATTTCACGAGACTCCAAGGCATAAGCATGGCGGTCACCTTCTAAAAGGCGGAACTGGCGTTGGAGCTTGGCCAACTCGCCTTCAGCTAGTGGAAGACAATATCGTGGGAAAGGCAGGTGGAAAGAAAGAAAAGTGATAAGAAAGACTGCCCAGTATGGTAATTTTTTGCTGAGGTCCCCTCCCAATCTCTGAAGGGTGAAGTAGGAATCCTTCTGAAACAGGGGTGTCAAACTGCCGGCCCGCGTGCCGGACGCGTTATCGGGAAACCACGCCCACCCCATTGCTGGCAATGGCAAAAAAGCTCCGATACGTCGCGTGACGTCACGTGACGTCGCGAGTTTGACATGTCTGCTCTAAAAGACCTGTTTATCACACCTGGAACAAAACACCTGGGGTAGGGATCACTGAGGTCAATGGTCCCATCACCATCAAAGGTGTTGCACTTCTGCAATAAAGTCAAATTAACCAGGAACATTTACATAAATACAATTATATTTTTATTTATCACATTTCATTTAAAAGAAATCAGTATCTGATGTGTCCAATGGAAGACTTTTTCCCGCAGAAGGAAGGGCAGGATTGAGAACCTTATCTCTATTTTGTCGTGTGGCCCTGTCCAAATAGATTGTGTTAGTTTGTGTAATGAGCAAAAAGATACTTTATGATCTATGTATGCTTCTCTGCATAAACAGATGGCCAATATTAATTTTCTGAATCAAGCCAATTTTCAAGCTCCAGTCTTTGTGCCTAGACAAAAGACAGTGAGGAACCTACAGGTGGTCACCATTTATTTTTCTGTCTTTGCTAAATTTAACGCACCTATATTACTTTATAAAAAGCACCTTTAAGAACACAGAAAACTAAACATTTCCATTTAAATTCAGTTTTGTCTCTGCCCAATCAATATATGTCACTATCTTATCACAATCCCCTTAACAGTCTTTAGAGACCCTCTGGCCTAGATTGTTCCCTGAAGTTTAACCAGTTGGCATCAAATCAGGAGAGTTACTCTTGTACTCATTTACCAGAATATTTTATTAGTGCACCTGTCAAGAATACCAAAAGCTGTATCATCTCACACATATATATATGGTATAAATTCTAGCCCACTGAATAACACCAAACAGCAAGTTGAAATTAGACAGAGATTTATTGGATATAACGGTTTGCAAAGCGTGGTGGACTCCAAATAAATATTTGAGCCACACCTAGTCACAACAAAGACACACATTATATACATTCTATCCCGACGCCTTGGCCCCTCCTCTGAGGTTACAATCTTATCAGGATCGCCTAAACAAAATACATTATCCCTGCCCCTTACTATTTTGCTTCACCTATTCCCTTATATGTACTTTA